CACCTGGGGTCAATTAGGAACCTCGAATACTACCTGGTTCTAATGAAACGCATCTACTTGTTTTCGGGATTTTGTTCCTAAATTGTGTGAACAAAGTTATCAAAGATTTTATTCAAAATATATAATAAATAATTATACGATGGATGTAATTATGGATTTAAAAAATCATCTCACTGCTTGAATTCTAAATAAAAATTCAAATAATTCAATTTAATGAAATGAAGTCCCTAAACTCAATCCGCTGATTTATTTGTACAATGGTTCCATTATGCTTATGTAAATAAGTCTTTTAATAAACTTTAAAAAAAACTGTACTAGTCTTATGGTACATGCACTTTCGGTTCATCGGTTTTTCTGCGTAATACGGACAAAATTCTAGGAAACAATTTCATTGATCGTAGAAACAGATGAAATAGTTCTAATATTCTAAACTATGAAAATTAGATCGCATTATTTTTTACGGTATCTTACTATAATAATAAAACAAAAGAAGTCGTCTGATTCCTCCGTGACCATGCAAGACAAGTAAATACACCGAATCAAATTATAGTATTAATCGATTTCATTCCATATGTATACAACTTTATTTAAGAATTCAATATTATATTTGGCTATTTGGATAGATTTTGTTTCTAATTCTAAATTGGTTACGGACTTTTAACATCCCTCCCTTCGAATATGCTTCATATGAGATTACCGGGTAAGTCTAAAATGATTTTCAGGGAATTCATTTACCGACTTAAAACTATTTTTTGTTATTATTAGAAACAGTACATACAAAGTTAAATAGCAAAGATTTATAATTATTAGGTCGGAAAAGTCGCATTTCACTCTTTTAATATTTGTTTATTAATTTTTGTGTTGTAAAGAAAAAAAAAATATTTAACAATTCAATACTCGTTAATTAATAGGAAGTTTTCAGTATCTGATATGTAAATGTTTACATGTACATAACTAAGAGCTTAGCGTAAACCTACATGTACAAGTGCAGTTGTAGGAGATTCATATTCTGTTGACATAGTTTTAATGCAGAGCACCATTATATTAACAATTATTTAAATTTCTATTCAGGAAATTAACTTTCTTGAACTATTTAGTTCTTGAAAGATCTATCACGTTAAATTTATTTATTTTATTAAAGCCGTTTCTTTGAACCTTTCTTTCGGCCGGTTTTCTACTTGTATTTTTTCTAAGATTTTAATATTCAATTGCGATTTTTGGATACATCGCAGATTGTAATCTTTAAGATTTTAATATTTAATTGCGATTTTTGGATACATCGCAGATTGTAATCTTTAGACATTAAATACAAATATTTAATTTATTGCGTAAATTTCTTCCGTGAAATAACTTGGTACTCTTAGATAAATTTATTAGATAGAAAATTCAAATGTATATTTTTCATAAATAATAAGTCTATTTATAGAGTTTCCAAAATTTATAACAGTACCCGTGAGAAACGGTACATAATCATGTTAGGGATTTTTGTGCAACAATTACATGTATGCTAAAATATCCATAATAAAACTATTCATAGTTCAACCTTAAGATGGGAATTTTGACATTAACACAAATAATCGTAAATTCACACAATTGAGAAGAAATTAAAAAAAATTACAGTCTCCATTTCACAATAATCCATTTCATCATTGTCATTTTTTTATATAAATAAATTTTGTAAAATTACCACAGAGATCTAAGTTTTTTTTTATTATAATAATTAAATGTACTTTATAATTTAGATTTGAAACTCTGCAAGTATTTAAATTAAAATATTGCAGTAAGTAAACAAAATAATCTTTTCGTCTTGTCAGAAAACGTTCCGTATTTTGAAACAATCCTATCAGGTTTTGCGTTTATCGTATCGTGAAGATCGTTTATCAGGTCTATCGTGTTTTGCGTTTATCGTGTTTTGCGTGTATCGTGTTTTGCGTTTATCGTGTTTTGCGTTTATCCTATCGTGCGTGTATCCTGTTCTATCGTGCGTGTATCCTATCGTATCGTGCGTGTATCCTATCGTATCGTGCGTGTATCCTATCGTATCGTGTATCCTGTAAAGAATAACGATGCGGGTACTGTATGTCTCACATCTAAATGGGCATGAAAATCGAGCATGATACCAAAACCAAAACACTATAGGCACAGGAGTCTGAAGTTTTTATCGTCAAAAAAATAAAATTCGGAAAAACAAATATTTCACACCTCAACTAAAAAAACAAGTGGTTTTTATTTAGTTCAGGGTGGGTTTTTTTTCTTGATTTTTTTTACAATGACACCTTCAGACTCCTGTGTTATAGGTAAGTGTATTGATCTAGATTTATGATATTGCAAAGTATCGTGAAAATTATAATATACCATAAAGAAACTGATCATATAATCAGTGAAGCCGTAGTTCCAGCTGTTCTTAAAATGGCGTAAAACTTGCAGCAATTTTTTTTTATTTTAAACTTTTAAACTTTAAATTCAAATTTAAACTTGAGTTATAAGAGGGATATCTTAAATATTGTGCAGGGTGTGATGATGAAAAATATCCAGACCAGAAATTGCTGATTGATTTTCATATGTAAGGAATAATTAGAGAGTTTGAACAAAATTACAATGTAAAGATGGAAGATAGTTAAATCCTGACCCCCACCCCCTGACTTCCCCCCAGCCAACCCCCCCCCCAATCCCCCAACCCCCATTTAAAAGATGAAGAAGAGTTGAGAATAATATCAGAGTTAATCAAGCATTGAAAAAACCTCACAAATGTCGATTCTGAGTTTAGGGACATTGATTGTGCATAACAAATCTAGTACATGTAAGCGTATCAAGTGCGTTTAAGAATCCTAAATTTGAATCGAGTGACTGTCTGCACACACAATTTCAGCATTAAAAACCTATTGATGTTCGGAGCCGGTTCAAGAAACATTTATTTAAATGCAACTTTAAATAAAAATATATATAAATGCACTTTGAGGATTCTTGAAGCCAGATATAATACAAAAAATGTCTCAAGTATCCTGTGAAACTTACAAAACAGTGGTCAGAAATTTCTGAGCCTGAGTCACTTGGAGAGGAACATTAGTTGCCATAGAAACTAAAATGGAGAATGTTGATACTTCTGAATCAAAATAATAATTTTAACTATCTGCCGATTAAAATGATATATAAAATAAACATGTAGCTTTTGTTGTTATTTATCTTTCTGTGTTTAGATGTGTGGCATATATTGTGAAACACCCTGTATAATAATATTTGTTTTATGAATGTAATATTTATTTAGCCTTGGCGCAAAAATGCATAAAACTCATGTTTTGTTTTTTATCAACCTATTCACACCACGGTTTATTAACTGGACACCAGGAAGCGATAGGATTGTTATAGAGAGTGTATCTACAGCCAATTCAATGGGTCAGTGTCCCTTTGACACTGATAGACTCAAATAAAATCAAACAATTATTTTATTGATGAATCAGATTTATTTTATTATTATAATAACTGCATCACATTAGTTTCAATTGAAAGTGTATCTAATCAATAGCACTCAGATTTGCAAATTTTGACCTATTATTCTGGCCACACGCCATCCCCGGGGTTTAAAAATGGTTTAAAAAATCTAAAATCTACACTTGTAACTACCCCACGATGCTTCCACCACTGTTTCAGCTTTGGCCCAGTGGTTCTTGAGAAGGAGTTGAAAATGTGAAAAAGTTTATAGACAGACAGACAGACGGACGGGACATACGACGGGTGATCAGAAAAGCTCACTTGAGATTTCAGCTCAGGTTAGCCATCCAAATGACTAGAAATTTTATGATGCATACATATTCATCATAAAGAGAATATACTTTGCATATGTATACATGCTACATAATTATATCTGAAGTATTTGATTGTTAAAAACGTTTTCAATTTTCAGTGTTAATATTACTAATTTTTTTGTTAGTTATAGTTTGTAGAAGAATAAAAGGAATCAGTTGTATTGCACAAAGCAAAATGGTGAAAAATGAAAAACCTTTTGTAATTGCAAATTACTTCTGAAAAAAGTATTTTTCAGATGATGGAAAACAATACATATTATATTTCAGTTCTGTATTAACAGAGAAAAAGACCACATACTATTCTTACATGTTTGTTGGAATCCTTTGTCATCCAGTCCATTATTATTCTTCAACTGGGGATAGTCCACTCATCTATATTCTATAATTCATGCATTCATGTCATTGTTTGATGATTGAAATGTGTATTTTCCTTAAAGATTTTTTTCAGTTATAATAAAACGCAACTATATGTATCAGGAAGGGGAGGCTAGCAAAATCACATCTACTGCAGTATATATGTTCCCGTTTGTTTTGATTTCAGTATGTAACCGATAGCTATGAAATTAAACACAGGCAACACGTTGATATATTATTGTGATCTCACACAGTTTATTATGACTGTGTTGGTCAATGATATTTCTCAATTTTGAACATAAAGCGCGTAGGCGAAAGTGTTGATTATATCGAATATTTTAGTATATTCAAATCCCAAGTATAAAACAGAATAACCATTTCAAGTACATGTATATGGGGAAAAAGAACAATGATTAAGCTTAATGGTCCCTTCAAACAATACAAATAAGGAACGGAGCAAACACGGATCTCTTAAACATTAGACGAAGGATTAGGTGCCATGAAGGTATAGAATCCCCTGCCCACCTGTCAAAGTTGCGTAATCCGAAAATAACGGAACACTTCGTAGACAATTCATCAATAACCTAATACAATGAGTATGAAGAATGTGACTCAGAATTTAACTTGATAATATACCAAAACCTTTTTGTTTATCTATAAGACACTGCGTATTGTATTTTTAAAGATAATAATTGGTTAAACTATAAAAGAAGAGTTTGCGGAGGAAGAAAGTTTGACAGACATGTACGGACAGACGACGTAGCAGGGTAAAATTAATAAACCCTGACATTCTTTAGAAAATGTTGATTTAATATATGGAGATAACGAACAGTAACTCATTGATAAAATGCAATCAGTTAAGATTTATTAATTTTCAAGACAATGTTTTTCCACTTCTTCTTTTGTTTCGATTAAACGTCTTTCTTCCTAAAAAAATCAGACTTATATTAAAAAATGATTAATTCTGATGATCTTTGCCAAGAATTCACAGTAAAATTTACTCACACTTCTGATTTCAAATTACTTCATCCTAGCTCTCAGTAATCTTTTCGCGAACTCCGCCTCCTGTGACAAATGTAATCACGCGTTAAATAGTTAACTGTGAAATCATCAATGTTCGTAGGGGACCGGTGCTCGTGGATTTCGTGGTTCACCCTTATCCACGAATGTATATCCCCACGAACATTCCCTTTACAAACTTATTTATTTATTGAATCTTCTGTATATATAAGTTACCCACGAAATTATGTCCCCACGGACCAATAAAATTTTGTTTACCCACGAACAATGACCCCCACGAATTAGAATTATTCCACACCATGTGTTAAAAATATTTTGAACAATTATTTCTCAATCAAAAATTATTTTAAAAAATACATGAAAAAGACTTACTGTCATTTTTTCCACAAGGTCATTTCCATCTTCCTTTAAGCAAATAAAAACTTCTTTAAATTAGTAAGCAAAATCAAATTTGCATGGAGATTGAATAAATTACAGTGTGTTAAACATGACCATTTTCAATTTGACTGCACGTGGCTTTTCGAAGTTTCTTTACATGATGTTTTAAATTTTGAATTTACTAAGGGGAGGTTTTCATGTTGTAAATTTTGTGTTTACCTCCTCTTAGTAAATTCAAAATTTACAACACGATGTTAATTCATGTATTCATGGGTGTGTCATTACCCCTTTCATATATGAATTAAGATATAAATAACAATAAAACATTTCTTGAAAGGTCTAGTTCCGATAACGTATTTTAAGTGTATTTAATACGTCCATGGACATGGAAATATGTTGATAGAAGATTGAAATTCCAGTTAAATAAACATTTAACTGCGAACAAAAATGGCCCTCTTGCACCTTTACATGTAAAATACCAGTCTGATTTATTGCAAAAGTGCAAGTATTGGGCATGAGAAAAATAAGAATTTCTAAAACAAACCAAATTGTGTATCTTTTTTCCGAAATTTAACACAGTTTGTCTGTCTACAATATCTCTCATTAATTTACTGGAAAAATAAATATCAAAGTCAGCCTTTACCTTCAACATATCCAGAGAACGCTTATCGCAAGTGAGTTAAGGCTACGTATGGAGTTTCTATGCAAAATATTTAATTAAAACCATAATTGATATACATACCGCATAGAAAATGTTAAAACTTGTTTTCTTATACATTCTTGGTACATACGATACACGATAGCCAGTACACATTATGACGTCATATTATGACGTCATCAACCTGTACTACACAAGTTCATAAGAAACATCAACAAAATTGATCCGGCGCAAGGGCATACCTTACTTTGTTTTAGAGAAACAAGGTATAAAAAGACGCAGAATATTCCAAGGATTTATGATATTACTGCACAAATGTCGACACTGAAATTGTTTAGTTTCTATTTGTACAGTTCTAAGTTGAAACAGGGTAAAAAATCCACAGTCCAGTGTAAGTTTCCAAAAATTTTTATCAATTGAAAAAAGGCATAGGATTTGTGCAGCAATTTTATTAATTATAAGAATATTCTCCTTAATATTATACATTATTTATTTTAAATCAAATAGGATATGCCCTTGCGCCGACGTTGTTTTGTTGATATATTTTATTACCTTGAATGGAAAAGAACAATGACGTCATAGTATGACATCATAATGTGTTCTTGCATTAATATACTGTGGGTACTATGAATGCATAAGAAAATCAATTTGAACTTTCTCCATAAATAAAGTATACAATTTATGCATTTTCATTAGTTCATTTGAATAGAAAAGCTTATATTTAGCCTTAACTCACTTGCGATTGCAGTAGCAAAGTCCATTGTAGCAAGCGCACCATTTCTTCTTCTTTGCATCTGTTTCTTTCATCAGGCAAAATAGCATAGCAAGAATAACGACACATGTCATAAACTTCATCTGAAAACATGTCACTAGGAATATTTAAAAATGTCTTAAAACCATTTCCCTAAACACGGATACAGGGAATAAAGTTTATTTTTTCAGAAAAAATAAAGAAATGGAGAAACATAACACAAGGCAAAAAAATATCATTTAATAGAGACTGAAATGTACAATGCAACACGATTACATAACCAGACACATTAAAACAACGACAGGGAGAGGGGAAAAACCCTGATAAAATTGTCGTTGAATAAAATAAATATATAAAAAAAATATTACTTACGATAAGCGAATTGAATTCTTCTTTGCAAGCAATTTCAAACCAACAAAAATATAGAAGAACGTTGACAAAATTTATACCTGAAATTGATGAACAGCTGGTACCCCTCTTGCTATTGAATTCTGTCATTAAGAAGGAAAAATTAAACCATTGAAATCTGACAAAAGATATTTTTGTTTTAAACCCTGATTTCTGTATTAAATTTCGTTACATTATATGTATATTTAGTATTCAAATATCTTAAAATCATGTAACCTAGCTAGCGTTGTTTTTGAGTTTAGTCACATCATGTAGGGGGCTTAGATTTTGAAATACAATGAGCAAACAAAATTCGCCCATTTATTTTTTTTAAACAACCCATTCGGTCAATTAACGAACCCTTTTAGAAAATAATAAATTGACCACTAACAGTTCCTGAAACAATGGCATTGCAAAGGAGAGTATCCCTAGCTCATCTATAAATTAAAGCAGCATTCGGCATCGATCTCGAGGCAAATTACACCATTTCCGTTTCGTTCAGCACTAACCCAATCATTCACACACAAACAAACACACCCCCTCTCACACACACACACAAACAAACAAATGCATACGATTACATTGCTGTATCTCTGTTGAGATGTTGAGATGGGTAAAATGTTTTTAACATTCCGTTTCACCAGTTAGAAAAGTACACCGTCTTTTTAGCATATTTACATGTCCATATTCTCTATCATGAAAATACCAGATCTTTTAAAAGGGCGTGCATTCATACAGAGAGATGATTGATTGATCGTTTATTGTTTAACGTACCTCAAGAGAATTATTTTTAATTCATATGGAGTATATAATGGAAACACTTACATTTACTGTAGAACCAACTGAATAAAAACAAAAACACAACTTCAGTATTGAAGTGTTTTCATAGTTTTTATGTCTGAAAAATTTTAATTCTGGTTCAGTATCAAAAGCAATGCACATTGTTTTTTTTTAATGCACCGCACTTCTGATAAAATAAATTAAACAATAAATAAAATAAATGGAGATAACAAACAATACCCAAGATTTAGAGTTCAACAATTAATTATACAATACAAAATAGGTGAAGAGCAAAATTGGACCTTCAAAACCTCAGATGTTGGATCATGTGCATTGGAGTGAGCATCCCCTGCCGACAGGTAATACCCACCATGTGTTCCACATTATGGTAGGAAAATAACAGAAAAATTCTTGCAAATTTCGGTGTGTAAATAATGGCCTAACAGAATGAAAAACGTCTGTCAGCATTTGACTTCATAATAAATTATCTTCGATGATTAAGTCATTGTATCGACAACGGAACTCGCGAAATGATGACTGCAAACATCACGGGGAATTTTTAGCGGACAGTTTTGAAAGAAAACGGATTTGTTCCACAAGTTTTAATAGTGATTGTTTTAATTAAATAGAATGCTATTATCATACTTCCTTATAAAAAAATAAATTGTGAAAGTTTTCAAAGAAAATTGTATGATGGAAATGCAAAATTTTTAGCCTGGTAAGGTTTGAAGAACCGCTATGATTATATGAATGTATTCTGTATGCTTTTAAAGTCAAATTTGTTACATATTAAAAGAAAAAAAAAACAATTTCATTTTTGACTTGTAATACCGATGATGTGTCTAAAGAGTAAACATACATCTCGCCAATTAAAAGTCAAACTAATGCTGAATATAAAATGTTGCAAAATAAAGTAAAGACGATAAGGTTTAAAGCAAACATATCTTTCATCAGATTACAGTAGTTTATACGTTTTCTCTTCTCAGTTATACAATTCAATAGCAGAAGAGTAACCAGCTGTTTATACTTTTCAAGTATAAATTGAAAACAATTCTGCCAAATTTTCATTGGTTTGAGTTGCTGACCAAGAAGAATTCAAATCGCAAATCGTAAGTGTAACAGACATATCGTAAGTAATACTTTTCTTTAATTATCTTATTAGAAACAGTTCTTTTTTTCTTCGTTCATGTTTTAGTGTGTGGCTTTACGGAGGGGTTTCGTATCAGTTAAACAATTATTTCTTTTTATCTGTTAAATATTTATTTTTAACTTCATTTTTTTCAATTTAAATACAAACAATTAAGTTTTTCTATTTTCAAAAAGGAAAGTAAAAAATAAAACTTGAACATGCTTTTATTCACTGTGACCGTATATAGGGGGATAGTTTAAGGTCCTAATTAGATAATTATGGCAATATATTTTCAGATGAAGTTTATTGCATGTGTCGTAATCTTTGCTATGCTGCTTTGCTTGATGAAAGAGACGGACGCTAAAAAGAAGAAATGGTGTGCTTGCTACAATGGATTTTGTTACTGCAGCAAGCGTTCTCTGGATATGTTAAAGGTAATTTTTATATGGTCATTTTCCATTCCAAAGAGAATATTTTTAAGTATGCTGTTTTGATAATTGAAGTCCATTGAATCCAAGCTTTAAGGAGGTCGAGTCTAATAATTTCTTTACTATATATTTTGATAATTTTTCTAGAATGATTTTTTTTTTTTTTAATTTTGTCGAAAAGTTTCTAAAGAAGAAATTATTGAATGTGCTCCCGGATTTTATGTACTACTTAAACCTAAAAGAAACTTTCAAAATTGCAAAATTATCATGCTTGAAACGCACCATTTGACTTATTTGACGTAACAGATCAGGTTTTATTGAAATTGAAAACAGAATTCTTAAAATGACCCACCCAGGACTGCATAAATAAGAAAAATGTGAAAAGTCATGCAAAGTCAAATTTGAAATGGCCTCGTTAACTTCAGCGTGATTAACTGTACTAAAATTTGAGTTTAACTTCTGAAGATAAAAATGTTTCATTTGTTAAAAGGAAGATGGAAGTGACCCGGTGGAAAAAATAAACCAAATGAGAGTAAGTCTACTTTATGTTCCTCTATATTTAAAAGTGAAGAATGATTGTTTACAATCTATTTGTACACAAAAACAATTATTACTTGTACATTTGTTACAGGAGGCGGATTTCAGGAAAAGATTCTTGAAAACTGAGATGAAGCAATAGAAATACAAATGTGAGTTTAAATTTTATTAGCTTATTGTAAAAAATCAGCAGAATTAATTGAATTTCTATAAACAGTTTTTTTTTCATTTTTAGAGAATGGAAAACATCAATTGAAATTGAGTGAGGAGGATTAAAATTTCATTTTTGAATTAAAACTTCTCTTGATTCCAGTAAAACTTTTGAAAATGCATTATATCAGTGGTTTGTTCTTATGATGCAGTATGTAAATATACTTTGATGTATGATAGTACATTTTCTCTCACCGAAAACAATCAAAAATGCACTAGTGGTGCTTTTTTCTGAAATACATTTAACAATTTTAGATTGCCTCGCTATATAATGAGACTATAAATGACAAAATCTGACTGCTTGTGAGCACATGTAAACACTTTTTATCGAACAAAGGTTCTATACATATAAACGCCGTTTATTTTTTATTTTCAGAAACAGTTATTTTGAAAAGTATTAACATATTGAATGATATAACAAGAGATAAAATTTATTTAACTGTACACATTAGTGAATAAATAATTATTTTTCATAACTCGATTCTTAGGTGATACATATAAAGTTTGTTAAAGTACACATACAATATTTATGTTGTAAGTATGGATAATTTCTATAACGAAATAAGTTATTGATGAAAATGTTAATGTGATAAGAATGTCAACAATCTCGTTTTGAATCGTCATCTTTAAGTTCTATGGTCGATACAATGACCTTGACAAAACTTACAATTTATCACTAAATTATTTCAAATGCAGACTATTGCTTTTAGCACCAACTGTAAGGTCCTTATTTACACATTGAATAAATCATTATTTCCTGATCATGACAAGAAGCATATGGATGGTGTGAAGGTTCGATAGGGATGCTAACTCTTTCATGGTACCTGATCCCACCTCTAGTGTTTTGGAGCTCAGTGATTGCTCTGTTCTTTCTTTGTATATCAAACTTCCTGAGATTTAAAAAAAATCAAAAAGAAATATTTTGTATTTGATCGACATTGCGTATATTGAATTAAATTAAAAGAAATTTCGTAAAGGACATTTGCTCTACTGCACCGATTGTAAATAAAAGAAAAGACGAAGAAAAAAAAGCACTCGGACTTGAAGCTTTGGCAACAGCAATAAAAGAAAAAAGTGCCCCTTGGTTTAGTATAACTACACAATTACTGCTGTTTTGAAGTCAAGTCAATACGATGATTTAGCCACCAAAGTGTTTCAATATTACTAGAGCTGGAAGGGTGAGGGGAATATTGCTTTTCAAAAGTGGCGAAATCCTTGTATTCACCTCATAAACAACAGTAACTGGTTAAAAAAATCACTCAAAAAGAGACGCTACTACATGTATATACATGTACAAGTAAAAATATTTGACCATTACAATGCACTGAGGGCCATTGAGAAGTGGGGAATTTTTTGTAGCCTAACGCCTACTTCGACACGGGACGTTGGTTTTCTCATCCGAAGGATACGAATTTTCATTTAAAAGAACAGGTTCTACTTATTTTTATCGAAAAAAGTAAGTCGCATCCGAGATTCGAACTTGCAGAACAAGCACTCAACAGACTGAACAACCGTGACGGTGTTACAGCACGAAAAAGCAAGGACCTTATGGTCGATAAAAGATGGCTTAAGTTCAAGATCTAGTAAATGACTTTTGACTATTTTTTGTTACACACTACATTCAATATGACGTCATTATTAATGCAAACTTTCTTATTCCCTTACTTATTGGCTCTGGGAGTATTATGTAGAAAATAAAGTATTTTCATGGAGTTCAGTTGAAAAGGAATACCGACACCTATATTAAATTTGATATCATTTAAAGATAAAACCAACAACATACAAGTTATCGTTTTCTGTGAGATTGTAGGCAATCTGAATGCATGTTCCTTGTTTGATATGAAAAAAATTCCCATATTCATGACAGGTTTTCTTAATTTTTCATTGCATGATTATGAGAGTTTAAAATATGATTGTTTACCTTTACGTTATACCTCGAAACACCATTTTTTACTAAACATAAGTTATAAAGCATCATTAAAGGAACTTATTTCCCAAGTTTGATAAATCTGTAGGGACCTTTTTTTTTTTACTAGATCTTTACCCTTATAATGATATGAAGAAATTAATTTCTCTATACCCAAATTAAGCTATCTTTAAACTAGTGTTGTCAAATCGGTTGAAAATCAGAATTGATTGATCAATTAAACCCTAGTTTCTAAATGCTTAATGTAAAACGTCTAAAAAAAACCATGAAGACGTCTTCAAACACTTTCACTTGTCTTTAATTAAGTCTTTAAAGTAAGATTTTAAGTTATAATGATATTTCAATATAGATTATACAAAATAATAGTAGATTCATAATTTTGTCTCACTAATTCTAATGGTACTTTCAATTCTTTAAACTAAGTTGTTGAAATTAAATCTTATTTCAATATTGTTTCGCTGATTCTTAGGTTTTTTTTTTTTTTTTTTTTTTTTTTGTTTTTTTTTTTTGTTTTGTTTTGTGTTTTTTTTCTTTGGAAAGTCGAGGATTTGAAAGCCAGCTTCTGCAAGATATAATTCCGTAACGTTTACGCAGGGGTGATAAGGAAGCATACAAAATATTCTACCTTGACTTAATCCGTGCTACATTATGACGTCATAGTAGGCGAGATTACGTCAATTTTAGAACACAAAGTTTTGTAATATTGGTATTTAGAGAGATTATTTAACAATAGAAAATGAATAAAAACGTATAAACATTAACAAAAATAAAATGTTTTTATTTTGATTTACTGATATCTGTCATTTTGATTATAATCAACAACCGATGACGTCATATGTGTACTTCAAGTAACTTGGAATGGATCATGTCGTGTAAAGAGAATTTGGCTTAGACGGCTTATACAAAGATACGTAGAATAGAGTTTAAAAGGAAATAACGTGAATATTATGTGAATTTTATATGGAGTTCAGTTAATTAAACAGGTATGCTATTTATTTTCATCAATAATATTCTCTTTCAAAGACAGCCAGCTATATACGTATCCCGGTCGGCCTTTCCCCTGTCATTCCTGACAAAAATAATGCAACAGAACAACTATAATCTGGATATTTCAAAACATAAGATTTGTATAGTTGGAAAGTTTGCCTTCTGCCAAACTTGGAAAGTGCTGCTAGAATCCCTAGTTAAGCATGGTTTTACGAAAAATCTCGGTTCATAAGTTTAAAATTCAAAACATAGGGTAAGGTTTCGTGCGAATGTGTAGAATATTTTTTTTTACTGACAAGACAGTTGCATTCTAGCAGAAATTTTTAGGCGAAATAGATGTTTTTCAACTATATCATTTACTCAAAGAAATTATTTAACCCCGGGGTATTGTTGTTCTGTTAGCTTTTTTATTAAGGAAAATTTCGCTTTTAATAGAAGTCACGTGATGCCGTGGCGGTGGTTCACGTCTTTGCTATAGACACTCATTTATCGGTATGCAACAGTTAATAACAGTTTACGTTCATCAGCGGTTTTGATAATTTTTTAAACTTAATTTTCTTTTAAAAGGCTAAATTTCCCTAGAAATGACCTATATGCTTCCTTAACATACCCGCGTATTTTTTTCGGGGGCGGGGGTTAAACTTGCTATATATTAATTTTTTAAACATTACGTTATTTTTTTGGTCTTTTCGGAGTGAAAGCCAAGCTTCTCTGTTGAATTTTTATGATGATTTGTAAAAAATACTTTTTTTTCTGAAAAATTACTTTTAAACATGATATTCTACATATTGAATAAAACGAATTTCGATAGGTAATTACATTGTAAACATTTGCTTGGTACCTGACATGAGCGCATGCTGCAATTTATTTCTTTGGATAAAGAAATGCTTGATATTAATAGGTACACATTGGCTAAATTGCCAATAATTGAATTCATTGTTAACAATTTTAATTACTGTAAAAGAACACATTTCGTTGGTTCAAATGTTCAAAGAAGAAGCTCTTGGTTCTTGAGGATTTGATTCGTGGATGACGAATTATTAAGTAGTTTAGTATGTAGCATGTTACATTTCTTGGACATGAATTCGTTGCTTTCTTCATTTACGAAAACACCCAAAATTAAACGCCAAGAGAATTCGTGATTTTACGGCAGGCAATAGGTAGCTTACGTCACAGTTTCGAATCCCATTACAGAACATGGAGACCCGTCCTTCTGATAAGACTATATAAACCGAGGTCCTGTGTAACAGTGGATATTAATGCTGACAAGAAAATATCCTGCACAGCTCAATCGCCCTGACTGCCGACTATAGGTCAAAATTTTGCAACACTCCACCAATGGTTAAGTCTACGTGTGAGGGAAAATGTATGTAGAGGAACGTTAAACAACAACAAACGGAAAAACCTTCTCTAATTGACCATCTACTCATTCCTTTGCAATGAACTTTGCTCTAGTCTTTCAATCTAATTTGTTTGTGAATTATACCAAATAAGAAATGTTTTCTTTACCTCTAAGCTCAAAACACAATACAGAAGTTTTATTACAGAATTATCCTTCCATCCTTGGATTTTTAAAGGGCAATTTATTTCTGTTTGCAATTTATCTAAATGATTTTTCATTTCAACCCAAACATTTTTTTTCCTATAACCTGTTTATCTGAATTTTTTCAGAAACAAAACAATCAACAGTGGATCATTAAAACATGTTTAATAATAAAATAACAGATATGAACTTTTATCATTTTCACGAGAGAGAGATAGAGAGATAGAGAGAGATAGAGAGATTTCGTAAATCGATTGTTTTATTCCTCTGTTGCTGGATTATCCAAGTGGTCGTCATTTATCTGAACAAAAAAATGTTACATATTAAAAAAAATATTGTATTTAAAATGTTTGAATGAAAATTCACATTGATTGTTGATGTACGTTTTGTTGCAAATTATATATTCTGGTAAATGTTCGACTTACACGTTTAAATGCTTCTCTTAGCATTTCAGCGGGGTTATACACAGTTATCTGAAATATGAAGAAATATATTTTATTTATACAATTATGACATAAAGAATTTGCCGCCAAGAATTAATTCATTAAATTATACATGATAATTCAGATTTCCTGATATTTTACAACGTTGGATACAGATTGTTCAATACAATAAAAAAAATTCTTGGATGAAAGAGTTTATCATGATAACTTAATTGTTTCCTATTA